ATAATCATCTCCTCCTCCGAGAACCTACTTTGTCAGCCCTGGCAACACTTTCTTACATTGTACCAATCATGCTCACCTACTCACACATCATCTGCAAGTTTATTGCTTTACCTCTGTGCTCCCCTGGATTCTTAAGTCCATGAAAACCAGGGCAGGTCCCTCTTGGCCACCAGAGTCTAGCACTGTGTGCTATCATGACCAATAACATGACAAACTATTGAGAGGACACTGCCAAACACTTTAACTTGGTCCTAAGAACTATGAAATAAAAACTATAATATCCATGTTATAGTTGAGAAAGTGGGCCCGAATGTAAGCTCCACACGGACAAGGTTTTATCCTGTCTGACCCTACGTTTACCAAGACCTAAAACAGTGACCATTTACGCATGCGAAGTCTCTATCCAAGCCAGACTCGTCACTGGTCAAGTGAACACGTGGAGCCAGTAGCCAGTTTGTGACTGTTTCCCCTTGTCTTGCACCTCTTAAATGATCATGCTTTATAGCAGAGGAAAGTGGGCCCAGAAAAGAATATAACTTGCCTCAATGTCACATTCAGTAGCAACCCACTCAGACTACCCTCTAGATGTGACAGCCTCTAGTTCACTTTACTGAGCCAGTAAAACCAAAGGAGCATTGCTTTGTCAAAATTAACTCTGCTAAATATTATTACTCATTACTTATGATTTGATATCAACTTCAGTTGTTTTGTCAGCACCGCTTCTCCCCATCATCCTCTTGAGTGCCTTTCTCAGGGTGGGGACCATCCTCTCACTTCCATGCTGGTGAGCCCCAGAGCTCTCTCTGGAATAGCCAACAGCCTGTCAGACAATACCATCTGTCAATCCTAAATCTTCAAATCCTGTATGTCAAAATGGAAGTTGTTTTCCCACCAAAACTCCTTTTCCTGAATTCCTTTTATCACATGGTAGCCCCACCATCAACTCTTACACCCAGCTTGGGAACAAAAAACCCAATCCTGACCCATGCTGTCCTTTAGCAGGGCACTCATGTCAGGGCACAAGTTCAGAAGAGAATGGCCTCATTCAACAGTCAAAATATGACTAACTTTAGGAAAGAAGTGGAAGCCATGTATTATATAAAACACTGATCAAAGAAATTAGAGGTGAAACTAAATGGACATTCTATGTAGATTGAAGACTCAATATTGTTAAATTGACAATCTTCTTGCACCCACAGACAGATTCAAACTAATCCTTATAAAAATCTCAGTAGTCTTTCTTTCTTTTGCAGAAACTGATTAGCAGATTCTAAACTCTATACAAAAATGAAAAGGATCCAGAATAGCCAAGTAAGAAAAATTAACATTTCTATCTTTGCACATATGAAAAATTATGGAGTTGGAGAATATACACTTAACAGATTTCAAAACTTAAACTCCTACACATACGTTCACTTGACTTTTGACAGAGCTGCAATGTTTTAGCTCATGGAGCCAAGGTCGTTGGCTATCCTCTGGAATTTATAACCTTACCTCACCCCTTATAGAAAATGAATTCAAAATGGCTTACAGTCCCAAATTTAAGAGCTGAACGTATGAAGTTTTGAAAATAAGACACTGGAGAAAAAGTCTTTGTGACCTCAAGTTAGGCATAGTAATACAGTACTAAAAAGACAACCTATACAAGAAAAATTAATAAATTAGACTTCATTAAAATTAAAAATATTTGCATTTCAAAAGATACCATCAAATCATCAACAAGTCATGGGATAGGAGAAATTATATGCAAATCATCTTATAAAGGACTTGCAACCAGAATATATTAACAACTCTTCCTATTCAATAAAAACAAAACTCAATAAAAAGAACAAAAATGTAAACAGACATTTCACCAAAGAAGGAATACAATTGGCCCACAGCATAGTAAAAGATATTCCACATCATCAGCTATCAGAGAAATACAAACCAAAACCATGATGAAATCAACTTCTCTTCCACTAAGATGGCTATAATAATTTTAAAAAGTCAGAAATCACAAGTGTTAGCAAAGATGTGAAAAAACCAGAGCCCTCCTGCACTATGAGCAGGAAGTGGGGAATGGTATAGCTGCTTTGGAAAAGTTGGGAAGTTTCTTAAAAAGTTATTATGCGTCCGTATAAAAATTTGTACACAATTGGCCCCAATAGCATGTGCAAACAATTCATGTATCAATGAATGGATGCCATACAACAGTAATAGGCAGTAATAAAAGGAAATTACTGATACATGCAAAAGCACTGCTAAGAAAGAAACTAAATGCAAAAGATACGCTGTCTGGTTCCATTTATATAAAGCGTCCAGGAAGAGCAAATCAGGACAGAAAGTGGATCAGTGGTTGCCTGAGGCTTGAAGCAGGTATAAATGCAAATGGGAACAAGATCCTTTTTGGGGTGATGGAAATGTCCTGGTGGTAGTTGTGATGACTGTACTAGTAAAAAAAAAAAAAAAAAAAAGCAGAAACTTACAATGTGAGTTTCAGGATAGGTGAATGTACTTCCTTAAATCAGGTCAGGGGTAAGGTAGAAAATACAGCCTAGGGATTCCAATTGCTTGGGTTCAAGTCCTGGTGCTATTACTTAACTAGTTTTTCTTTGGGCCTTAGTTTTCTCAATAGCAAAGTGGGAATTACAGTGGTACATATTTCAGCATTATTGTGAGGATTACAGCTGATACAAGTAAAATGCTTAGCACAGCAACAGACACACAAGCCTTAAGTGTTAGCTCTTTTTATTAGGATTATTCAGATTACTTTGTTAAGATTGGCCCGTTTCATTTAGTAATTAGTTCTCAATCACTTTTTCCCTGGCCTTAAACTCTGCTAACTACCGATGGCTCTTCCCTGACACCTACTCTCCATGGCCTCAAGGGACCATGAAGAAATGGAAACACATAAATGGCAAAATCCACCTTCAGTATCAGGCTCTCAGGACCTGTTTTCTGTGGAATTCACCCCCCCCCCACTCTACTGACTATCAAAGGGGCCAATTTTCCTGCTCACCATGCAAAACTCTTGCCATTCACCCCCTCCACAGACATTTTTTCCCTGCCTGTAATCTATGACTGCACTAGTACTCTTAGGCTCAACTGAGGCAACTCCCTCACAAGCCTTCCCAGAGTCTGGAGTTTTTCTCCATTCACCTTCAGTTTTTCTCTGCCTATAGTAACAGCCTCTGCACTTCCAACACTGAATCCAGACACAGAAATTACAAAACCTGTCTCATAACATAAGTATGAACCTAGTACACTCCTTTGTACACTGTAGTTGTTCAATAAAATGACTGGTCAAATGAAGGACCAGAGTACTCAGTATTTTCTTAGGTCTTAGTCTTCCAAAAACTAGAGGCAGGGGCTGGGGAGATGGCTCAGTAGAATAAGCGCTTCCCTGGCAAGCACAAGGGTCTGAGTTCAATCCCTGGTTCTGCCAAAAAAAAAAAAAAAAAAAAAAGGAAACAGATTAAAAAAAAAACAAAAAAAACTAGAGGCAGAAGTTGTATAGGAAATAGAAATCTTAGTAAGATTCCACTTGCATTTAAAGGTCTATTGAAAGCAGTAAATATGTGAAAGCTATAGGATAATGTCACCTTCCATTCACACTATGACCGGGAGCAGTTTATTGAAATGTGCACAGTTGGCCAGTACTGTTAAATCTTTCCAGTGAAAAATTTCCTAGCTTTCCTGGCATCAGAGTTTCTAAACTCTGCAACTTGATCTGTTAAGGATTTTTGAGTTATCCCAAAATGAGAATATCAAACTGGGGGTGGGGACTGACAAAGAACTTAATGCTTAAACTTTAAATTATGGAGGAAAATAAATTATCTGATGGTTCAGTTCCAGGCCAGGTATAACTTAAGCATTCTGGGGTTGGACCCAACCCAAAAAAACTTCTAGAGTTCACCAGAAAATAAAGCAGCAAATGTCAAGATTCACTCTGAAGAAATCTAAAAAGTTCTTTTGTTCCTTAGACTTATCTATAAGTTGCGTTATACCTAGATTTATAGATAAAAATAAAAATCTTTCTAAATATAAAATGTATAAAAAATGTTAAATGGATTCTGTTTTTCATTCTTAATGTCTTGGGCCACATTTAAAATTTTTGACCCCTTCCACTTGGTCAATAAAGCACTAATACCCACAGTACATTTAAACATTTAAAATCCACTTAAGAACAATTTAAAATAAAATTTAAAAATCCCTAAATCTTAATCATAGTAATATTAAGGTGTAAACACACCATCAAGACACACTAAAACAGGGGTACAATTCTAAGAGATAATGAAAAAATAATCTTACTTTCAGAAGAGGAAGCGCCAGGTCCTCTGTGAAGAGTCTACATTTGGAGGCACAGCACGTGCTACTCCAATCCTAAAATGAAAACTGCTGACTGCAAAAGTACTGAATGGGTACTCTTTTTGTGCTTGTATTACACTGGAAAACAAAATCTTAGCTGACTGTAACTATAAATGTCAACTTCACAGTTATGCTGTGACACAAGTTAGAATCATCTTCAAGCAGAAAAAAAAATTTATATCCTATAAAAATTTTTCTTCAAAAATGTCCTACTGAATCTCTTTTCATTCTTTTGAGAAACTTACCACTGCTATACTCTGATCTGACTTTATGTATATCCTAGCTTTAAGAAGATATTTGTTTTTAAATAATCCTTTAAAAAATAAAAAGAGTCAATTTTAAAAGCTTTTGAGAATTTGGGTCTAGTTTCATTAACTTGTCAAGTATATCATAAAAATAAAGACAATTCCAAAATGATTATTATGTTGGGTGAAACTCGGGAAGAAAAGATTGAATCAATGGGAAAACACACTACGTGCATGTAGTTACAGAGTACAATCATCCTTACAAAATGCTTCACATAAATATATTTTGACTCACTCTGCCAATATTATTTCACCTTTTACCATTACTTTTATTAAAAAATAAATTTGAAAGATGAAAAATATGGTGGCAAAATTTCAAATTAAATTTTTCTACTTAAAAAATAGGTACATTTTAAAATGAAAAAAACTTATTGCCATTAATGTCCTTAAATAAAGAAAAGGTGATCTATAGTTCTAAGTACAGTCTTACTACAAATTAATAAAGCATACAACATAGAACGGTAACACATGTAAAGCACTATGGGTGAACACCGGGCAACATTTACTCAATTAAAAGAGAATTAACCTTAGAAGCATCAGAGATACAGCACTTTCGCCATATTAAAATAATGCACACAAAAGACAAAACATTACTTTTAGCATGTTAAAAAAATCACATCAAAAAAAAGCATACAAGTAAAAAAGTCATAGATGACATAAGAAAATAGTATGTGTGTATATATATATACTATTTTGTGCACATATATATACATATAAATCTACAGTATTTACCACTGTTGATATATATTTTGAAGCAGCTCAGATGTTACTATCATAAACTAAATTGTACAGCTTGGTTTATTACAAGTCACAGAAACATAGTTTAAAGACTGGACTTAATATAATCTGCTAATTTTTATATACATTTATTTCTTAGTTTCCACATGATCTAAATCAAGAGCCCAGTTATTTTATCAGCATTTTGGGTTTCAGTGTAGTGGTTAGCTTTAATACACTGCATTTGTTTTGTCATTAATAACATCATTAGAAGTTGACTACAATTACAGTAAACTATATACATAAAAATTCTCACATTCACTAACTAAACAAATGTTACCTTCATTTTAATGCATACTTTTGTACCTCAGAAGCTTACAGCCCCAACTTGCAACAGGAAGAACCATCAATGTTAGGTCATCTACTTTCTGTTATGCAAATATGAACAAAGTAATGCTGAAAACAAGCACTCCACTTCAACACAAAGGCCTTTACTGGAGTGCCCAAACCTTCGCCAGTGTTTGGTAACTGTAGTGTAACAGAATATTTGAAAGACATCACTGATCTTTTTACCATAAACCTGAATTTTGTTTTTCACTAAAAAAAAGAAAAAAAAATTCTTGAAAGCATAAAAGTCACACTGTATTTTAAAAACGGATCAAAATTCTACACTACTATTCACAGGGTTTTTTTTTTTTTTTTACAATTTTTAACATGGATAAATAATGTAAAGGCTTAGTATGAGCAGCAATATTGACTACATTTTTAAAGCGTGTCAGACACAGGTGATGTAACAACTACCCTGGCCCCTGGAGGAGCGGCTCTGACAGCATGAAGGGGCAGGTGAGGAGGGGCCGACTGCACCCACTGGACACAGCCCTCTGGGCTCCAGTGCGGTGCAGAGGACTGCAGCTTGTCCTGCAGAACCCCTCCGGCCTGCCATGTGGCAGCCCATTCCTGGCTTCTCGGAAGCACTAGCACTGATCTGGGAACATACGCAGTAAGCCCTGCCCCTTTGGCTTCACTGCCTCGATTTTTAAGCACCATTGAGTGGTGAGCTTTTCTCTCCAATGTCTTTAATTTTCAGATTGAAGAAAATGGCAACAGCTGAAGAAGAATGAGGGGTATTTGGTGAGATGTATTAATAAAGCCAGAGCAAATTTTTAATCAGGTTAGGTTTAGGGTTAAAAATATGAAGAGGAAAAATCTGCACCGCAAAGAGTAACATTTCATGGATGTAGACTGAAAATAAGGTTTTTAAAATAATTTCAATTCTGTGCTCAAATGTGTATGCATAGATAATAATACCCATTAAAAGACACATACACTACATAGAGCCTTAAAAATATGTCTGACAGTTTTTCAGTGCTTTATAACATTAAGTCAAAATAGAATGGGCCAACAGAGTAAAAATGTTCAGGTTTTAAAGTATAAATGAAACTGCGTAACGTGTGCATCCCTAAATGCTATTGCTATGTTTCCAGGTTAAATTCTTAAAAGGTTCAGTGATGATGCAATTTCAAATGCTCATCACAAGCAGCATCTACATGGGGATGAAAACATTTCTATATATTATTACTAATGTACATCAGACTTGTGCGAGTTGTTTACAATAATATAAAATACTGCTTTGGCAATTAAAACATAGCAATGTAGGTTTTATATGGTTTCTATTCTCTTGTCCTTAGTAAGGATAAATTCTCACAGCAATACTGACTCTTGAACAGAGAGCCCCTCCCGATTTCTATAGTGGTATGATGGCGGCGGGGGCCCTGTATACTGATACCCAGCTGGACTGGCGTCTTCTATAGCGGATGAAGTTTTGTATCGCACTGGGCTATCCACTGAAACTGCTGGGAGGTTATGGTCCTGAAAGGGCACGTGTTGAAAGGCTGAATATTTTGGTAAATTGCTTAAGTGGCTACGGTTAGTATCTCGAGTCCATGATTGTCCATGCATCTCCGGTCTGTATGTATAACCAACTTCTGACCACGTTTTGTTATCTGGCAAATAATCTACTGGAGGAATGATGAATTTACCATTCTTTGGTGACCCTGAATTGCCCGAGTATCCCCCAGCACCAATATCAACAGGAAGGACTTCTATTCGACTAGATGGTAGTACAAGAGGGGTTGGGCGGCTATACGATTTCTCTGGAGAAATGTCAACTGAAAGAGTAGAGCCATAAGGTCTCCTGGAAGGATTCATTTGCATTCCAGGACTAATCTGTGGACACACAAAGCTGTTAGGGGTGGGGATGTGTTTTGGAGAACTTCCGTGGTAAACAGGGGGACTGCTATAGGATGGAGGTTGGATGGTCCCTTGATCCTCCCCTTCTAAATGAGATGGGTATTTTCCATAGCTTGGTGGCTGTATTTTAAAAGTAAACTTGGACCCTTTTGGTGGACTGGAACCTGGCTCAGTGTGCTTTCTCGGGCTGTTAGAGGAAATGACATTCCTTGGACTCTGAGAATAAGCCCTCTCCAGTGCCTCTTCCACAGAAGCTCCATTTTCATTTTCACTCCCAGGCACGTTGTCATACTGTGATGCATTAGAGCCCCGCTTCCCGTCATCACCATCCCAAACCTGCATCTTCTGCCTTGCATTTGCTAACCGAGCATCTGCAGAGCTTGGAACAGTGGCTGTGAGTGTGGGGTGCACCGATCTGCTTTTGCCCTCAATGACGTATCTGGCAGTTCGTTCAACAGCTGAAATATCTGATGGTTTGTTCCATTTGGGCACAAATTCCTTTCTGATGTTTGAAGTAGCATTGCTATTTTGGTTAGCAGCTGCGTGATTATAGGGCCTGGAACTATCTTGTGGACCTGATGTAAGTTTTCTTTGAAAATTCTCCTCATCTTTAAGATTCTTACTATCTTCATCCACTGATTTCCGCCTGAGTTGCCTCACTCGTTCTGGGGTACCAGTTTTACTCAGATGGCGCGGGGACTGCTCATGTCTTTTGTGAGGTGAGGAGCCACTTTCTCTTCTGCTGTTCATGTGGGGACTGGGCCTGCCAGCATTTCTTTGTCCATTGCTCATGTGATTAATCGCATAAGGGTGAAATTCAGGTGGAAGCTGCCCCAAAGGTTTCTTTGGATACTCATCTTCTTTACCTAAAGGGAGAAACAAATTAATAAGTACAATGAACACACAAGTAAACATACCCATGAGCTCATCATACAGTGTAAGTGGTGCACTGTTAATGTGTGAATGCAAGGAAGTGGGCAATGGTATCCTTGCAACTTTCTACAACAAACATAGCATAGCGGAAAAGTTAATTTAAACTCTAACTCGAATACTCAACATGCTTGGCACCAGGAAAATTTTTATTGCTTTTCACACATTACATGTGAACATTACATGAATGACTGAAGTATTACCAGTTTCATTTCTGACTAGTCATCAAATAAAATAAATGGACTTCTGACTATTTTTTTGGTACCAAGGATCAAACGCAAGACCTCAAGTTTGCCATGCCAGGGTCTAGGCTGCTGAGTTACCTCCCCAATCCCAGAAAGCTGACTTAAATGTAGCCTGTGCCAAGAATATTCACAAGCAGTTATTTAGCTTATTGTGTTAAAAACTAACAAGCAGCAAAAATAAAGCTCAGTTAGTATCCCCAAAAGATTTTTAAATCATCCCTACAAATAATTATGGATTTATTTCCAGATAAATATGCAAATTCATTCTTCCCTGTTGGCAAATAACCCAACAAACACAAATTATCAAGATTAAAAAACAGGAGCCAAGGAGATAGCTCAGTGGAATCAGTGCGTGCCTGGCAAGTGCAAGGTCTTGAGTTCAATCCCTGGTACCACCAAAAAGGAAAAAAAAAAAAAAAAAAAAAAAGATTAAAAAACAATGTAACAGAGGGGTTAGAGGTGTGGCTCAGTGGGAAGAAGCCTTGGGTTTAATCCTCCACAGCACAATAAGAATCTGTGAAAAAGAAAAATCTTCCCTTAGCCTCCCTCTCTCTCTTACAATTTTGTAAGGGTAGGAGGCAGTAATCTGACTGAACTCAATGGCTGGTTGATTTCTATCAGGCATTAAAAAGACCTCATCTTTAAAACATCCTTTTCAGGTTGGTAAATGGGAACCTGCTAAAAACATACCATTTAAAAGCGAAGAGTTAGACTGGGTCTGGTGGCATGCGTCTGTAATCCCAGTACTTGGGAGGCAGAAAATGGGAGGATCACTGAGTCTGATCTGTGTAGTGAGACCCTGTAGACTCTGTACTAAATACATTAAAAAAAAAAAAAAAAAAAAAAAGCAGAGTGGGATCAGGGAGATAGCTCAGTGGAGTAAGTGCTTGCCTCGTAGGCGCAAAGTCCTGAATTCGATTCCTGGTACCACCAAAAAGTAAAAAATAAAAGCAAACAGAAACTGTGGCACAAGGAAGGGCCAACTCATGCCTGCAAGATGTGTTGTCACAAGGACAAAATCCCCCTTCTCCACTCACTGGCTTTTGGCAGCCTGCAGAGAGCTACCAACTTGTAATTCATATGAAATGATGTTAAATGTTTTTAAAAATCTTCCATAGCAGCATTTAAACAAAAACAAACATAGAACAGAACTGAAATCGAACCACTGCCGAGTGTGCTCTCCTGGAGCGTCACACCCCTTGAGTCCAAGGGCTCCCCCAGCATCCTGCAGATGCTTAGTCTGTCCCAATGCTCCCATTTGTGTCAACTCAGTCTATGAAAACCCATTTCACTTGAAAGTGGGCATGGGTAGCCATCCTTAGATCCACAGCCTAAATCTCAAGATTGGTTTATTTTATTAAAAACCAAATCTTATGGAGTACATTTTCTGTTAGCAAAAGGTCACCTCTTTCATTAGTTATGATCATTTGTTCTTATAGTTCTAGCACATTTTTAATGCCAATGAAACTATAGTAATTAAAATCTATTTTTTATAATCAAATCAAAAAGACAACTAAAGAAAGAAAATGTGGAAGGTAGACCTAGGCAGTGGCAACTCCACATGGGCATCTAAGGATCCCTGTATACAATTTTCTGTGTTTTGTGGTCACCATCTTACTGCTGAGAATGGTCAATCTGTCATTGGCTTCCAAAATGCTTTCCACAGACATTCAGCACTAGCTACTTACTAACAACAATAAAAAAGAAATGGTAAAGTGCTGGAGGTTGAACTCAGAGCCTAATGAACACCAGGCAAATGCTCTACCACTGAGCTACCTCTTAGTGATAATTCAGAATTTATCACAGTTTAAGCAATATTCTAGATTTGAACTGACTAAAACAGAACAGAATGAGTAATTATGTCCCTTATCAGAAACATCGTAAACAAAAATGGATCATCTGTTCTGGCACTTATTTGTCTAGCTGACCTTTTCAGACATTATTTCTGAACTGCTCCTAAGCTATATTGCTCCAAGGCATACAGACACTAGGAGTCAAAAAGGACAAAGGACCTGTGTTTGGATCCAGACTTTGTTACTTGAACTTGGACAAGTTAGTGTAGCCTTTCTCAGTCTCAGATTTCTCATTTATAAATAAAAACAGTTAATAGCTGTATTGCAGGTTTGCTGTGATGGCTGCAGTTAACACATAAAAGGAGTCTAGTGACTATATAGCTGTTTTCAGACAAGTTCCAAGAGCTTATTAATCCTTACCCTAGTTTACCTTATTCTGATTCATCAATTCAATCCCAGATCTCCTGAAATTTAGTATTAACTCTACCTCCCCACATAACATCATCCATTAATACAAACACCATGCTATCAACTCTTTCATCTAAGAGATTCATAACACATACTAAGATGAACAGGATCCAAACTAGACCATGTTCATTTCTTAAAATATAGTAAACTCTTAAAAATCACTAAGAAAATGAAATACCCCATATAGAACCCTAAATAAAGGATGTGAAGAGGAGAGAAAGCAGGCAAATACAATTAAAATACCTCTAAAATTGATACATTTCACTATTGGGGGTTTATATAAACCAGTTCTCCAATTTGACAAAGTATATTAAAGCTTTTGAACTGGTAATTTCACCTCTGGGAATTTAATAATTAAGGCATATGAGAAATATTTGCTATTAGGACAGTCAAAACTGCAAATGAGGCATTCATACACAATGGAGCACCACTCTGCCATAAACAAGAATAAATCTGAGTCATTTGTAGGAAAATGGATGTACTCTGAGACCATAATATTAAGTGCAATAAACCAAATGCATGAGCCTAAATATTGGACGATCTCTCTTATTTGAGAACTCAAATATGAAGAGCAGAAAAAGAAAAAGGAAGAGAGGGAGAGAGATCTTTCATAAAAGGGGGTGAAAGAATTAAGGTGTGTTGGGGCCGGGGAGATGGCTCAGTGGAATAAGCGCTTCCCTGGCAAGTATAAGAGCCTGAGTTCAATCCCTGGTTCTGAAAAAAAAAAAAAAAAAAAAAAGAGAGAGAAAAAAAAGAATTAAGGTGTGTTATATACCTATACCAACTCCCCATAATGAAAATAAAAATTATGTATTACAGCTGTTCTAATAAAAATTTTAAAATAAAGATATTCAAACTTGCATTGTTCCATAAAATTACGTTCAGTGTTTATGAAATTAAATAACTGTGAATCAAAAGTACAGTAAAATAATTAAACATAAAATAAGCCTGTGGCAGTCATTCATTATACTAATATATTTTTAACATTAACAAGTAAAAAAGGAAGTTATAAACAGTATGTTCAGTATAATCCCATTATGAGTATTATGTAAGGCATAAGCCCATGTATGTCTACACAAATGACTATAAAAGGAACAAATACTAGTATGATTAAGATACAAAAACCTGCTAGGTTAATTTTTTGAGGGGAGTGGGTACCAGAAATCAGACTTGGGACTTTGCACTTGCCAGACAGGCATTGTGCTACTGAGCTATATCCCTGGTCCCTTAGTTACTATTTTTGATTAATTACTATAGAGTTATTCTACCACAAATATACATTATTTGCATCATAAAGAAGTCTAAAAGCACAGAATATATTTAAATAGAAGATACTAGCCTGTGGTTTGGTGTAAAAATTATTGGCAATATTTTTAGCTTATTCCTCAAAGTATGATAAGGTTCTGTCATATGATCTACTTTTACCTAAACATACTTGGCTAACAACATTTATCTGATTCATTAAATGAGCCATCTTTTATTTTCTGACTGTGGTGGGGAACTGGCTAAGGCCTTGAGCATGAAGGGCAAGCATTCTGCCTCTGAGCTATAGCCCCAGCCCTAAATGAGCAAATTTAACAAGAACGCAAATCAGCCATCCAGCAGAAAAGTATAAAAACGAAATATAAGAAGTAAAGTCATGATGTTAGGTTGAGCTGAAGGGGACTCAGGTCAACAATTTCTGACATTGCCAGTGAAGCGGAAGACCCAATACTATTATGGACTACTGGACTCTTTTAGAATATTTTGCTGAGTTAACACACCTATAAGATTCAAATAACAGAACCTAACAAAAAAAGAGAATACAGATGAATGTCCATTTTGTATCTGTGTATTCAAAATGGTTAAGATAGATATGTAGTTACATTCTCTTAATGAGTAGAGGGATTTGTTCTAATGGTGTTTGTAAATAGGCTATCATGTCTGCATCTTGTACAGCAATTAACCACTAGGAAGAATGTATGCAATGTGTAAATTATTGAATCTGTCCTACCAATTTGGTTTGAAACTGTCTCATTGCTATTTGTTTCTCAATAAAATTATGGGGAAAAAAAAACCCAAAATTTAAAAAACCGCAAATCAGATTGATTACGTGTGGTTTTCGTAGTGAATTCATGATTAGTGATCACCTTCTTTGTTTCCTAAGGGCTCAAAATCCATTTTTCAATTAATTCATTCATTGATTTTTGGCTTAGACAGACATCACATCTACCTGTCTGGGGTTGATATAATCAAACCTTTGATCCTTTTGAAAAGTGGAATTGCATTTTTTCCCATCTACACCCTCTAAACATTTTATTGTGCAATTTTTCAAACATGCCTCTCACATGATCTCATTTCAAATGGGAGGAGACCTAGTAAGTGGGAGGTTCCAGAGCACCTGCCATGCTCGCCCCATCAAGCAGCTGATCTCCTGCCATGCCGCAGCCT